CTAGAAGCGCGCTAATCCGTGAGAAGCAATCCGCAGCATTCATAGAGAAGTTCATTAGTAAAAGATGCTCAAATTTTTTAGTATCATAAGACATACCCCCTCTACAAAAAGAGATATGGTTTGGAAAATGTTTGTTCTGACTAGATTAGTTGGATTCTGAATTTTTTCCCAGTATCATATCGTTTTAGTAAGGACTATAAACTTTCAAGCTTTTGTTATAATTTATCATAAGCTTGACGCAAACTCCTTCCTTTGCATGCGAATTCCTGGATAAGAACAGGAGACTTAGAATTAGCGTTAAGCAGTCATTTGCTCTTTTTTCTTTATTCTCTGTACTGATACGATGATGTTTTCTTGGAAGTGTGAATAGAATATGTATTATTTTAGTTTGAAAAGAAGAGTCATATTAACGCTGTAATTGGGAAAAATTACTAGCTTTTAATAAACTTCGCTGAGAAAATGGTTTCACGCTTTCTCACTTTTGGTTTGAATTTTTATGCACTTCTATAGGTATTTGCAGCAGGTATATTGTGAGCTATGCTATGTCCCAGCAAGAATCTAGTACTGTATGATTCTAAGCATGTTTTAAAAAGGCCATACGAATATGGACTAGATTCATCCTAATTTGGCTCAATGAAAGCCTACCCATTCTTTTGAAATACTATAGATGCTGAGATTGTAGATTAACAAAAGGCCTGTAAAGCCTTTCAACCTCTTATGATCTCTCTGCTTCCGTCTCTTCTCTTCTGCGGAGAAACCCATCAAGAAAAATTTGTCGACTAAATAGATAACCAGTAATATGTAATCAAATTGAATAAGTGTTGAGAAAGTTGTGTTTAGTGATTTCTTCCAATGCTGTTAGGTTTGATCAGGTACAAAGTGTACTTTTTTTTAACATATGAAAACTTTACATTGTAAAAATTGGAGTTCCAAGTAGTTGATGGAGGGAAATTTTGAAAGTTAATCCGCTCCCATTAGTCGGACTTTGATATTATCTTGTAACTTTTAGGTAATTATACGGAAGCTTCATCAATCCTTGCTTCTTTTCGTAGAAAACATCCGGGCTATGCCGCTATCGAACTTCGCCTCATTGGAATGATGAGGCGACGAGCAGACGCAGAAAGGTTAATTTTACTAGCACATCAATGTATTCATTTTATGGGTTTTCTTTTTAGGAATCCCGATTATTCTGGTGTGATTAGTAAATTTGAGCGCTTGATTCATTCATCCGACACTCCTCGGCATCTCAGCAGCTACTATTCTATAAAACTTGCAAGGTGACCTTAATTTTCTTGTGATATGCAGCAGCGGGAACCAGGTAATCGCGCAATGCTGCCGAGAACGAAACAGCAGTTTCTGCTTGAGACTTCATTGATGTTCCACATTCTTTAAGCACTGCTTTAAGGGTATTTTAAAAAAATATTGAGTTATTTCATTTCATTCACCAACTAACAAAGTTAGAACCAATTAATCTTCCTATCCTCCAAAATACTGAACTAATTGAAGAGTGGGTGATGCAGAGCTATGTTAAAACGTTGATTTTTCAATCTCTCTTTCAGATTTCATTTGAAGACTCGCAGCGATCGACGTCTCGCCGAAAAGATTATTCGCAGAGCTCTTGAACGTGATAGAGTAAGCTTAAATTCCTTGATACATATGTGAACGCTCCTTTTTGTTTCTAGGTGACTTTATGAGTATTTATTTTTCAGATTACCTGTTTTCCGAGAAGAAAGCTTTATA